TCGAAAGGCTTCTGCAATCAGCAGAACTCCTCAATTCACCGATTACAGCCCCATTTTACATAACCGTAAAAGTGATATTGGCAGAGCAGCGTATTCGTTCAAAAGGCGCCAACAGGTGGCGCGAAGCGCGCTTCGCGCGGATCCGGGCTGCAGACTGTCTAGTACTGGAGAAATTAGCGTTTGGATGCGCATTGTGAGCCTTTAAAATAATAACATTTATGAGTGATACAGTACATTGTGTGACACAGTTCTGAGTGATACATATGTTACATCATAGCTTTACACACTGTTACAGGACTGTGACATGAATCTATGTGAATTATTATTATTATTCTGTACATCGGTAATCGGCGAGCTATAGCGGCTGTTTAATCTGCTGTCGGCACTCGTGTAAAACAACTATTTTTAGGTATTATTTTTATACTATTTTAAGGTATATATGATGACTCTAAAAAGCTAAAACTACTTTCACAGATTGTCCTTGAAAAAAACATGTCATTGAAACGTCCTTGAAAAAATAATTCACCCTTTTGTGGGAACCATGTAGCAGTGGTTGTCATAGTAGTTGGTAGTAGTGTATATTGTGTAACAGTAATTGCAGTTGAACTAGTTCCTCTGCTTTTCTCTCTTACAACTACATGCGTCATTATTCCCGAGACTCTAACAGCTTTTCTGCTAAAATTCTATTGTAGCATAAGTCAATGTAAGTGTGTAGGTATTTGATGAATCATTCATGAATCATCATTTTGGAAATCAATTAATCACAGTTATTCAATTACTTCAAACGTGTGGGATCACTAAAGCAATAACTCAAGTCTCTATTTGGTATCACACCATCACTGCACATTTATTCATACAAACAGATCAGCCATACAATAAACGTTCAATATCGAGACTGAAAATGTGAAGATTATTAATTGTCATGAAAGGGGAAGCTAACTCAATCAACGAGTTCCAAGTCGAACAATCTGTAATGATGCAGAATTAACGCAGGATGCAACGGCAACGTGAATAGAGAGCAATGGATCAGCAATATATGCTCGGGAGGGGACAGCAGTTTGTGACAACAAACTATAGGCGTTTATTTTATGTTACGAGAGGTGAGTGAGTTAGAGGATTCCCAGCTTCTTCTCCATCATCAGATATGGGTCAAGCATCATCTCAGCATCTGCAGGATCTGCAACACAAAAGCTGCGTGAGACAAAAACCCTAATCGCTCTCACGCTCACTCGAGTTCAGATTTGTGTGTCAATCGTGTGTTGATGTATGCCGGTCCTTGACCTCAGGGGCAGGGAATACTGTATTTAATCTTTGAACCTGCTATAGTACCTTTAGATTGCCCCCTTACGTGATACAGGAATACTGTTACATTATATTATATGAAGCCATTAAGATGAGATGATGGTAAAGATGTTACAGAGATTGAGACTCACTGTTAAGGACGTCATCCCACGTGATAACATCATCTCTTGCTAGCACTGTGTCCAGCATTAAATTTGAACTGGATATACAAGGCAATCTCCGAATCTAGAAGAAAAAGACATAACATTACAGACTATACTTATATGAAAACATGTTTACATAACATTTCTGTTAATAGCATTTGTAACGCATCATCAAATAACAATGCTAACTGTAACAACGCACAATATCAGGGATAGCATTCCATCCAGCTAGATAATATAAACAACCTGCTGATTGTTTTCCATGCTATTGCCACAACACACTATCCCACCTGCTAGAGCAGCTGTTGCTACTGCCTCTTTTCCAAATACCACTACTAACACAATTATTACCATGCTGCAATATGTATGAAGTCAAGTAGGCTAATTACTAGATTCAAACATTGTTTGTTTGCCTTTTCAGAGGAACTAAAACCAGTGGTCCAATCCTAGTTTAGCACTCCAGATTAGTTTAGCACATATACAAACTATATATACCGAGGTCCCAAACTGTTATTGTGCAGAAGTAGCTTTAGACCGTGCTGTAAGGCGTCAGTAGTGGACGCTGTCATCAAGTGTGCTCATTTGACAACATTCGCATTGTCAACTTGGGGACAATGGCAGACATGCACAACACTTGACATGCACATGCACTTGACATGCACATGCACTTGACATGCACAGGCCTTTGTTCAAGATGTGGCACATTACTTACGCTGGTAAGGGAAGGTGCCCACTACCTGGATGAACCCTGTTGGAACTAACCTTGCTGGCTGCCCTTATTTCCATCTGTAGTCTCAGCGGTGCATGCATACCCTGTGTTCTTCTGAGCATGTTCAAGTCGATGTGATTCGCTGGCTCGCGATGCTAAAACAAAAACATAGCGGCAGATTATGGTACCATATGTTTAGCATTTATGGTTATTTGGGATACGGGAATATATTATAGAGAGTGGATTCAAATCAGCTTAGTATAATAAGATAATTGATAATAATAGATTTAAATAGCGTAGTAGTTTTAAATAGATTAACAGCACTGCGCACGATCAGTGAACGCAGTGACTGGCTCGTACAGCGCATGTCTGTGACGTTGGAAAGCGGAGCAGTACCAGTGGTTCACCACAGCACATGTCTGTGACGTGTCTGACTAGTCGCGACGTCAGAGAACCATAGCGCATGCGCGGGAGAACAACGGTCAGTCATGACGACGCGACGGGGAAAGAGACAAATAAAACGTTTGGTAGTCTCATCCCCGCTGGGTGCATTCCAAAGAAACATGTCGGCCCACACCTCACATCAGCCCCTCATCCTAACTTTAGCTAAAGCGCACCGTGCGACCTTCTCCTGTCTCATAAATCCCCGTTGCCCGTGTACTTCAAATTAGAGCGACAAAACGATTAGGCGCTCTCATTGTCACAAAGAATAAATGACCACTGGGCAAGTGTAGTTACGCCCAGTTACGCCTGTTTGAAGCCCTTAGAAAAATCTTCCCTTAGAAAAAACTCCACTTTTCTCTCTTAGAACTAGAACTACTTCATACGTGTTGTGCAGCTGACACTTATACTCGCGGTTGTAGCCACATAGTCATCTACACCAAGTAGCATCTTTACGTGATCTCTCTAACTACTTGTACGACTAGGACGTAAATTGTGTGCACGCGAATAAAGATTATAAGTAGTGTTTTCATTCCTCTATCTCGTGTTTAATTTACTCGTCTTGCGCCGCACCGGACACATCGAAACATCGGCTGACAATTCTTTCGAACAGGCAACGTTTACGCCAGCACGATAGCGAACAGGTTATAACACAGTGCAAGGACAATAACACCGCAAGTAGATATAAAAGACAATACCTAGGGTAGAATCACTCTACAATAGTTATGGCAATTATGTAATTTCTTTCAAATAGCTTCCAAGAACTCAACTTGTGCTGGAACAGTTTATGGCCTATATGTAGCCATTTTACATTTGCTAGCATATCTAGTAGAAATGTTTTAGATATAACGGCGTATTGTAATGCATATATGTAAACATTTCCATGCCCAATATGAAAACAGAAGCACATATGGTATGTGCTCAGCTAAATTTAGCCAATTTTCACCTGATGTACACTATTTTTAACCTATTTGCTTATTCGTTTATTATTCAGTTATTTGCATTTACTATCGTGACTGTCGACGAATCGTACAAGGCAACATTGTGATGAAGTGGTGTTACTCACCATTTTCTCGGTAGACTCGAGGGGATGTGCCGGAGCAATCTTTTCCTTGGCACTCTGTAAACTGTTAGACACACAATAGATTGATACACATTCATTGTGATCTCTACCAATGGATAAAATCATTTTAAAGTTTAAATTAATTCCAGAATTTCTACATGTTATAGAATGTGGTTAAAAATAAGAATCGCACTCAAACCACATTAAAGTATTCACATGAGGTTAATTCTGAGTCACTGCTATTATACTTGCATGATACTGTGTGTGTGGCAAGACATTTACAACTTTTTTGTAAAATGTTATTATTTCTAGCTATGTGTACGCATTTTTATTATACATTACCCATAGAGCATCCGGTTAGGAACACCATAGCTCCCTTCCGGGATGGTGACCTTTCCTTCAGGGACTGGCGTCCTATCAAAGACTGTGGAACTCTACAAGAAGAAAATAAGTCTTCTAAACTGCGAGCATTGTTTAGCACTGCAAGTAGAATCAAATCAATAACATCACAGTGCATTGTAACATGAGTTTGTACTCACAGGCACTTGAAGCGTATAATAAAATATAATGCTAAATAAATACGAAATCTATTTACTACCAAATTCTTAATGTTTCTATACTCTCTTTCACCTAGTATTATTGATTGCCGACAGTTTCCTGTAAATTCCGTCCAAATTCTATGTCCAACAAACACCAGCGCTGCGGCGCAAGAATGAGGTCACGAAGAGCGCCGGTGGATGTTTCCTGATTCTGACAGCCATTTACATTTACTGGGCAAGGTTCGCGAAAGCGAGAATTTCGTCAGTCTTTGTGTGATTTCGCGTGACACAGCTCTGTTACGAACAGAGACAGTATGTTTTTATAACAAGTGAACACTGTTCTTGAAAGAGAAACAAAGATGGAAGCTGTTGGATGTGTATTCGTGCTGTGAAAGTGTGAAATCAAGCGAGCGTCGAGCAAATTTTGCGATCCCGCTTTCCTACCTGCTAGTGCTAGTGCTATATATATGTGTCAGTGTGCACACTGCAGCCGCGTGAGGAATGGCGGCAATCAGTGTTTGTTGCACATAGGATTTGGACTAAATTTACAGGAAACTGTCGGCAATAATAGGTGAAAGAGAGTAGAGAAACATTAAGAATTTGGTAGTAAATAGATTTCGTATTTATTTAGCATTATATTTTATTGTCAAATTGAAACGCTTCAAGTGCCTGTGTTTGTACTGACCGTGAGATGTTTGCAAGCTTAAATGCTGATATATTCTCTACTAATGCACCATCTTTACATACATAAATCAAATCCATAAACAAGTAGGCCTACGACTCAGAAAAACGTGTACACTGAACCACAGGCCCTTGGACTCTGGAGGCTCAAGTTTCGAAAAATTATAAGTCTATATTAAGAGCGAAGCAGAGTCTATATTAAGCGAAGACTATATTAACCGCTTCGCTCTTAATATAGACTTATAATTTTTCGAAACTTGAGCCTCCAAGGGCCTGTGACTGAACCAAACATGCACAAAATGTCAAGTCATGTCTTTGTAAAACTACAGTCAGTGTCGGCAGTGGAAGAACAAATCAGCCCAGTCGGGTCTTCAACGCTCAATCTCTCTAATGAGCATAGACAGGACAATAGCGATCAGTTGCAGCACTATCTCACCGTTTTTCTTAATAGAAATATAGCAATAATATATTAATTTTTAAGAAATAATAACATGAATATACGACACATCAAAACAACACTCACCATTTTCAATCACTAGTGATGTAGCCAGCGTCCTCCAGCGGGAGAAATTACGAGCATTTTAAAAGCAGGTGTCAATAATAATAGATTATTATTCTATTAATCTACTATTACTGCCAATAGACTATTATTCGATTAATCTATTATTACTACTAA